GCAGGTCTAAAGCTATTCCATTTAAAACCTGTAGTATATTTTCTTTATTCTCCATAATAAAATACTCGGCAAATAATAAGGAACTAGTCAGGTATAAGTGGCAGAAGTACAGTTTTTAAATAAAGCAACATTTGATGGTTGCAACAAATTTCGAGATATCACGTCCATCTGTACACCGTCATCGCCTGTTTTTAAAATGATGTGGAAAGTGTGGAAAAAAATGTAAGTGTCTTTAGGTTCGCTCATCGCATCGTTTATCCGTCAATCCTTAAATCTAGTCTCTATTCTCTCAACCGTTTCAAAAAATTTTATACCTTTTTATAATCTAGTAATGAACCAGCAAAATTAAAAGTAAATTCCTGGCATTTACTAATATTACTAAATTCTCCTTCATTCGCAGGTGTGGTCTTCTTCAAAGTGTGCGTCGAGAGAGTTAGGCTTTTTAGCACCAGTTTCAAACAAAAATGACTCAAAAGCAAAGGACAAGTGACGAGAGATACGAAAATGTACTAGTCCAAAGGAGGACATTTTTCCCAGACATTGTCAAGAGAGAGAGAGTTTCAAGCTAACACTTTCTGTGTTCTACATAAAATTTCTAGTACACAAAGAAGCACACTTTTCTAAAATTCCCGACAAGAGGTGACTGCACTGTTGTCTGTGGCATTGGTAACGAGTAATTTCAATGTGTAAGCAGGACTTGCCTACAAAATCTGTTAATTTTTCTTTAAAAACCGTATTATGACGGTAATCTAGAAATTCGAACGTTTCATGGGTGTTTCGAGAATCTTCGTATTTGGACTCGTCGGGAAAGACAACATTTACGAAATGACGTTTCAGAGTTCAGTACAGCATACTGCTGTTATTATCGTGATTGGGGTAAACGGAGATTTTTCTATTCAATCTAATATTTATGAGATGCCTAACTCATGTGTAAGAAGTGTCTTTTGCACAAAAGGAAAACCCAACCCTATACAGAAGGACCTTCTGGCCTCAGACCTCTTTAAAATCGAATAATTGTAGATGGAACGGACGCTTACTGAACGCGGAGAACTCGCCATCGCAATCGTCTTGGCACTGAGCATACGGTTTCCACAGTTCAGTTGTCAAGATACTAGTGTGGTGAAGCTAACAAGTGTCAGTAAGCTGAATCTCGTGCAATCGCGACGAGATGGGCCTAAACCTCTGGACGGAATGCGCAACCGTTCCTGTTATCTGGTCTGCACCGAGGAATCATCATGCGTATCGGCCTCTTACGACACCTAGACAAAACTCCAAAATAGATATTCTGAAAAACATATTATTTACTAGTTGGCAAAAAGTTCACCCACATTCGGATTATTTTTGGTACTAGCATTAAACTTATACTGATATGCCTTAAGATGGTCTTTCTGCAATGAACAGGTACTTATGAATAATAAGAAGCTAATCAACTAAGGAATATTCTGGAGGAAACTGTTGAATGTGTTTTTATGGAATACAAATAAACGAACTCCACGCAAACAGCTACTTCCTATATAGCGCTGATTTCGCTGCCTTCAAGCCCAAAGTAGCACATTTTCCTCTGCCGTTCGGTGGCTAATTCTTTCGACGACTCAGGAGATTAGCTTTAGCAGCAGGTGTCATATCTTTCAATCATTTTTGAAACGTTGTATATAGTATGGCGAGTGCCGCATGCAACATGCCTAAATTTGTAAAAGTTTTATCATTACTCGCATACCGGCGCGAACGCATTTACGAAAATTTAGAAAAAATAATGAAAAGCATTGGGCATATTAAGTACTTAAAAAAACTATAAAAAGTACTAAGTTTTTGTTAAAAAAATAAAATTCCCCCGATAATGCCCAAGTTCCAGAGGCGTAAAAAATAGCTATACATTAGAATAATAAATTTAAATCTTTTCATAAGTTGAAAACGGGACGTAGCCAATTTCGCTATATGAAAAGAACTTTTCCTCAGTCAAAATATTTTGTACATATTACCCTTAACGAATAGCTATTTATTGAATATTGTCCAATAAAGTCTGGCATCATTTCGATAAATTGCGCTTCTGCTCGACGTTTACATCAAAACCTTTAAAATAAGATATATATAAAGAGCCATTACCAAAAAATGTGTTTTGGATATTAGTTCTTATGAAGCTGATCATGTGAGTTATATTAAGAAATGCCTCAAAATAGCAAACCACGGTGTCCCGCATACAAAACGTCCGCATGATATCTCGGATATCGTTATTCCTAAGATGGATGAAAAGCATTCCATAATAAGTTACCTCTTCAAAAAGTGCTTTAATTGGATATATATCTGACTATTTTTTGTGCATATAAACTTTTTCTAACGTGAGATCACAAGGAAATTGGAAATTTTTGACAATTTATTTGACTGACCTGCATAAAAGCGATTCAATTTGACTGGAGATGAAAGAACTAACTTTTCTCTTTATAATGGATTATTTTTCGCATTAGTGGTTTAATTCCACAATTCCGTATAAGCTTAGGAATGCAAAAAAACAGGCCATATATAGCCATTTTAAAATCCTTATTATTCTTCTGCCTGTTCCGTTTCTAAATAACGCATAAGCGGAACGTATAGTTTACAAAAAAAGTATATTTCTACATGACTTACACTGTAAGGTTTTTTTAACATTACCTTCGCAGTCACATATGCGGACACTTTGCTTATTTGGCAAGGTGAGCCGTGTGGTAAAACAAAATGCGATGGAAACATTTTTGTTAGTGCATTTTGTGCAAAAGAAACTTCACAGTTTAGCTAAACATAATTTTTGAAACTTAAATTTTTGCTTGTTTCTGAAAATAATTGTGATTCTTTAAGCTTGGCTTTACTTTCATTGGAGCTACTTTGGACAAAATTTTCCAGTTCTGGAAGGGATAATTTTTCAACTTTTTTTACTAATTCTGGAATTCTTCCACAGCACAATGTGTATTGGAAAAAAGTTTGGTTCTGTCCTACCTTATAGCATAGCAAATTTCTTCGATATAAACTTACTCAGGCTTTAGCCAAAATTAGTGCCTATTTAACTCCATAGCTTTAACCAAGAGAGCATTTTTTTGAAACTATAGCCACTCTTATTATATAATCCACTCAGTCGATCAAAACAACCTGTCCAAATATATGCCTAACTACCAGATTAAATTTCGTCATGAAAGTTGCATGCAGGACTCGCCATACTGAATATGCTGACTTCGCACAACCTACGACAGTTCGACGGCCGCCACCCTCACCTATGCCCACCTCATACTTCAGCGGGCTGGGGGCGAACGCGGTGGCTTACGCGTGAATTGGTTTGAAGTGATAGTGGACACGCGCGGCACCTAGCGCACTCTTTCTTCCCTAACACGCTCGTGTCCCGTGTCACAAAAGAGTTATTTAGAAGGTTTGGCAGACTTGCCTAATTTGGTTGACCCAACTGTGAAACAATTCGCGGCATACGGCGGGATTTGAGCCCGCCTAGTTGGGAAGACCTTAACGCGAAGCCAATGCTCTACCAGTTGAGCTACAAATGCCACGCCTAACACCGTGAGTTTAATCACACATGGATCGATTTTTACCGCCCAACTTTACCGCTCGTATGGAATCCACCAATACGGAACATGAGGCTGATTGCCCAAGCAGGATTTCCTAAGCAATTGTCTAGAATCTATTAGAATGACTACTAGGCTGGCTTAGTTATTTAGGAGGTTTGGCAGATTTGCGTAATTTAGTTGACTCAATTGTGACTTAGCTTCGCGTTAAGGCCTCTCCTACTATGCGAGTTCAAATTCCGCCGAATGCCGCGAATTTTTTTCACAACTGGGTCGACTAACTCATGACAGATTCATGGAGACTGGATACGTGGTGGGCACGGTTATCACGCGCCTCAGCGTAAAACTATGAACCTCAGTCCACAGCAAACACCAAACCCCCGATCAGCTTACGAATAATGATAATGGGTTAACCTGTTTTGAAAGTAACGCTTTCAGGCAACTGCAATAAATTAACTTACTTATGAAGGCATTAGTCGAGCGATGAGAGAAAGTGGTAGAAGAACTATGATCCTTGACGTTCCCGAGGTTGTTCTTTCGGGGTCTGTGTTTTGGATTAACAAAATATCGGGTTATGTAAGCAGAAGGTAAGGTGACCGTTAGGATACTAATCGAAAATGTTGCCTATGCAGCAACGACAATTGAGAGATTTAATGGTGTGCTATGCCTGCGACAGTTCTGAGACATTGCGGATACATATTAAAAATGAATTTCAAGGTATTAGCTACAAAGGTCTTTGCTCAATCACCAGCGCAAATGGTTTGGTAGATCGATATTTTTGGTGCATACTCAGCGCGTTAATCGGGAGCACACATGGAGCGATGATACAACATCTGAGTTGCAGTCGAGTATTTTTCCGGGATGACGGGCTTAGGTGGCACCGAGTTAAAATTCCATGTTTTAATATCGGGAACAAGTATCTGCACCTAACTACACGAAAGTGATCTGTAAATTAACCGATACGCCAAACGCGAACAGTTGGGCTGACAGGCCGGCAAGAGATTAACTAGATGCCTTTTTTGATCAATAGGTTCTCGATTAAACAGCAAATATGATAAAGCAATACCACGATTCCCCGTCTCGGATTATTGTCTCATGCATGAATTCAGAATTCAGTTTGATGGGCTAAGTATTTCATGGGTAAAATGCAGCTTCTCTTGCCTGAAAAATATGGCGTTCAGAACTAAATTCGCTGGCTTGTTTTCATTTCATTACAGGATATATTATTTAAACTGCTATTTTTGCTCTTCCTGATGAAGCAGCAAGCAAATCATATTTTCCTTTAATTTTTTTGCAAGTGGGATTCCTTGTTATCTGAGGTCACACGCAATTACCATCCGCATACTGGACTATTGAATCTTCCGCTCAGCACCCCGCAGAATGGCTACTTCAGGTTATTTCAAATCGTTTCAACCGTACTTTCTATTGCATTCTAATGTTTGCGTACACAATTTGAAGGCGTTAATACAGTATTGTACCTTTTGCGATTTTCGGCAGATTCAGAGAGAAATTTTTCAGTGCACCAGGACCTTGTATCAGCGACCAATCCAAGTCTCCTTCGCCTTCGTTGTACCCTTCGGCTGGGGGTGGATATCCGTCGTGTGTCGGAGCAAAACCACTATCCTCCACAGTCTCAGAATCTGATATCTCCTGGTCACCCAGAAACATCGGGGAGTCCAATCCATCCAAGTTTAAGGATACGCGCGATGCAGGCTGGAAGAGAAGGTCCTCCATCGAAGTGTTCCTGCGGGGGTCTCCGAAAGCCGGGGGGTAATTGCGGGCTTCATCCGGCGGTATCGCGTGGTCGCCATCAAAGTTTGTAGCTAGGTATGCGCCCTGCTCTATATCCTGCATGACTGAGCGCATTTCCTAGGGAGGACATGAGAGCCAATGGCATTTTCTTGTTGAAAGGTAAATGTCAGTTCAGTATCGGGGTTCGTTTTAAGAACGGCGCAGTGAACATTGCTTTCTTTAACTACTTCAAAATGACACGGTAATCATTAAAGGATGTTTAATGGGCGCCGTCATTGTAAAGGGACAATCGATAACGTACCTGTAATATTTTAGGTGGATGTAAGTGTTGATTTCGAGGTTTTATCGACTATTAGTGTTGATACGAAAATGAGCTTCTGGCACCAATTCAGAGAAGGTAAGGTAATTTAAATAATAGGGCTCCAAAGATTGGTATAGTAAATAGCATTTCAGACTGAACAAACTAAAATTTGAACCCTTGGAGAAAACAGATCAAAACTTACGAAAAATCTAAAGTTTGCAATTTCTCTAACTATAGTAAGGGACTTGTGAAGAAAGGATCTCTGGCGTACTGCCTAGCTATCGAGCGTCATGTGGTCGATAATGTGATTTGTCAGCTAAGCCCAGTAGCCTGTGGGGAACTTATGCTTGATCTGCAATGAAAACAAACCCAAATCCTTTGCTTTCCGTTTCTATTCTAACAGTCCTAATCCCCACGAGGACTACCAACTGGACCTCATCTTTCATTTTATCATAGACTTATGTCAAACCGACGGAATAAAAAATAAGGAACTGGAACTATATTTGGGCTCTTCACTGATCTGATCCCCTTCAATCCTCTATAGTAATGTACCGCACAGCCATGACTGCAAACGAACAGCTCGTCTCTGACTAAAGCATAGGGACTGCAATGCTTAATCAACCGAGGATCAAGACAGGATGTATGTAGGTTGTTAAAAGAGTATGAACTAAAGGTAGATTAAGACTTCGCCAATACCTTTGCAGTTCCGGTACATAGTGCAGTCTTGTTTAATGACAGGGTTTAAGTTCTATCCCTCATTAACGAATCCATTCTGCGATGTAGGTATTGTCAGACATCTGTGGTCATTTTCAGTCGCCCTTTTCTCTTTGTGAATTCTGCGGTAAGTAATTTAAGTGTCATCTGTTATAGTTCCTCCTCATTTCCGTGACTACAAGCAGACCTGGACAGGAACCTACCATTAATTACCAACCAGATTTGTTTCGGTGCGCCGAACAATCACGTTACGAAGGTGCCTTCCGTATTGTTTCTCAGACTACAATGATCTTCCTCCGGATA